AAAATTTCAAAGTTTTGGAATATCCCTGTCCTGCTGGGGACAATAAGCTCCTTGGAACAATACATTGTCCCTACAGACAGTGGGAAAGGCTGCTTTGATCTTCATAATGCATTTTCCAACCCCAAAGGATGGAAGAAGAAAGGGGACAAGTTATTATTATTGCAACTTATACCTCGGGCACCTTATCCCAATAGTACTGAGTGGCTCGGGTTGATTAAGCATCTCACTGTGTCACTGATTTTCTAAATCAGGACACAATGGGAGTGTGCTAGCATGTCCCCTTTGGAAAATTGTGTCAGTGGGTTGCAGGATAAAAAAGGGAGGGAAAATAACCTTCTTGATATACACAGAGAGAAGTGGTAATTGAAATGCAGTTAGTGCAAATGGGGATTCTCAAAATGTGCCTCTCACAGATGCCAAATTTTGAGTCAGTCGTGGAAAAGGAATGACACTATATTGTACAGACAGTATGGGGTATGGCTTAGAGAAGAACTTGCAGGTTTTCCACTTAATGGTACAGTGCTAGGTTTGGGCCATTTGGAGGACCTTGCTGAGCTTTTAAGCAAAAGCAAAATATTTAAACTAGATAGATGTTCCAAAATATTCGATATGTAAAGTTTCTTGCATAGTTCCCAACATCAGTGGATTTACCATATTTACTGCAGACAGTGTCAAATGTGTCCACCCTGTCTATTCAAGAGACAGTGGCCAATGATAAATTAGTGCCATGTTCTGAATTGCAGCAAAAGCAGTATGTGAGTTGTCATCCATGATCTCGAGTATATCTGTCATTCGCAACATCTTTAGGAGCAGGTTTGAACTGGAGGCCAGTTATTCAGTCACAAGGTGAAGATATGTTGAATGGCAGGTTATCCAAGACTCTTTTTATTTCAAAGTGAAAATAGAAATTGCTGGAAAAATTCAGCAGGTCTGGCAGCATCTATGGAGAGAAACCAGAGTTGACATTTCAGGTCGAGTGACCCTTCCTCAGAACTGTTCTGGGCCAACATTTATTGCCCACCCCTAATAGGACAGAACATAGAACATAGAACAGTATGGGCCCTTCGGCCCACGAAGTTGTGCCACCTATTACCCTACTCTAACAGCAAACTATCCTGCATACCCTACATTTTACTATCATCCATGTGCCTATCCAAGAGTCGCTTAAATGCCGCTAACGTATCTTACTCTACTACCACTGCTGGCAGTGTATTCCACGCACCCACCATTCTCTGTGTAAAGAACCTACCTCTGACATCTCCCCCATATCTTTCTCCCATCACCTTAAAATTATGCCCCCTCGTAATAGTCATTTCCGCCCTGGGAAAACGTCTCTGGCTATCCACTCTATGCCTTTCATCATCTTGTACACCTCTTTCAAGTCACCTCTCATCCTTCTTCCCTCCAATGAGAAATGCCCTAGCACCCTGAACCTTTCCTCATAAGACCTGCCCTCCAGTCCAGGTAGCATCCTGGTAAATCTCCTCTGCACCCTCTCAAAAGCTTTAACATCCTTCCTATAATAAGGCGACCAGAACTGAACACAATATTCCAAGTGTGGTCTAACCAGAGTTTTATAGAGCTGCAGCATAACCTCATGGCTCTTAAACTCAATTCTCCTGCCAATGAAAGCCAACACATCATCTGCCTTCTTAACAACCCTATCAACTTGGGTAGAAACTTTGAGCGATCTATGGACGTGGACTCCAAGATCTCTCTGTTCCTCCATGCTGCCAAGAATTCTGCCTTTAACCCTGTTATCTGCATGCAAATTTGACCTTCCAAAATGAATCACTTCACACTTTTCCGGGTTGAATTCCATCTGCCACTTCTTTGCCCACCTCTGCATCCTGTCAAAGTCCCGTTGCAACCTACAACAGTCCTCTACACTATCCACGACTCCACCAACCTTTGTGTCATCAGCAAACTTACTATCCCAGCCTTCCATTTCCCTATGCAAGTCATTTCTAAAGATGACAAACAGCAGGGGTACAAGAACAGATCCCTGCAGAACACCAGTTAAGAGTCACCTCCAGTCAGTCTGTCGTTATGTGTAGGCCAGACAGTGTAAGGGTAAGGACATTGGGTCCATTGGGTTTATACATATATCACATTTATAAATCAATGTTGTAACCTACTCCAGGTGCTGAACAATCATCTAGCCTGCAATTCCTTCTCTACTCCAAATTTCTCTAATCCAGATTTCCTACCCTAAATTGTATTGGTAACTCCTGAGCAGCGTTCCCTCTGACTTTCTTTCCAGCTGTGTGGGTTTTCAAGTGGAATGCTGACTTCCGGAACCAGAAGTCTTTGCCATAGACTGATTACTCTGTGTGTAACCACGGGGCTGGTGCAGCCATGCAGCTTAGAGGGAGCATTGCTCCTGAGTAACTATTCAACTGATCCCATGTGTATCTCCGACTTGTCACATATAGTACCCAGCCCCTGACCTGACAACTCTGGAAACCAGCATCTCTCCCACCTAGTCTCCACCCCAACTCCACCCTGGTCCAAACCTGACCCCTATCACCCCCACTCTTTCCCTACTGTAGACTCAAACCCTCAACCCTGCTGTGTCTGGACCTGCTTCACCCGTCTCCAGCTGCACAGATGACCACCTTCCGTCTTCGGAAACCCATTCCCTCCCACCTCCACCATCTGCCCCCAACTCCAGACCCACTGCCCCATTCCTCAGGCATGCACCTGACATCTCTTCATTCTTCCCCACCCCCCACTATCCATCATCCACCCTGGACCCAAACCCTTTCAAACACCACTTCCTCCAAGATCGTGCCTCACCTCCACTTGCTCAGGATTTGCTTCCACCCCCTTGAGGAATTTCCTGTCAGAAATGTGAAGCTCTGTCTTGTTAAGATAGAGAAGGGACTGAGTGACAATCTGCATGAAATTGCTGCACCCTTGAATAGACTGTTGTTGTTTCCTTACTTTGTTGGAATGCACTATTGGCCTCCTAAACATCAGTCACAGCTGTCAAAAATAAATGACAATTTCCAAACACTGGATTCAGTAGTATTCTTTGATAACTGTCAAGACCATGAAAGTGACCATCCAGTCCTATCCACAAGAAATAATTGTTTTTAGAATTTGTACGCGAGTTACACAGGATAGCATCACTTTCTCTGCTGAGGTTTTCTTTTATTGAACAATGATTCATAGTTGCAGTGTGCTCCAAAGCATATTTTTCAATTAGATTAATAACCTCCTCTGGTTGTAGAAGATGTAGGGTAGCAATGGGTGGGAGTAAAGGAATGAGGCAAATGACTTTTCGATACTACTCCTTATTGAAGTTTGTTCTCCATAATATGTTAGGGCTATTGATTAATGGCAATCGACAAAAACACAAGAAGAGGTCACCTTCTGAGTCTCTGCTTTGCTGTGGTGGAAAATGCTTTGTTCCCCAATGCGAAACAAAGAACCAAGACCAAAACCAATTCTTGATGTTTCGACAATACAGTGTGCATGCATGATGGGCCATACAAAATGATCATAAATCAGCTGCAAGCTCCGACGTTTTCTGGACAATGACCAGGGGTAGGGGTGTCAAGGAATCAAACATTATCTTTTTGATGTACATTGACAGCTGTGAGCAGTATTGACAGAGCTTGTACTGGATATATCCCTGTAGTGATGTAAGTCACTGTTGTGATGATAGCAAATCTAAAGTCACTTTATGAGTAGAGGTAAATTGTAAATCTTGTCGATTTCTGATTTCCACAGGTTATCTACAATGTTCTGAACAATTCCTGAACAGTTCAAACGTGGAAAAAATGCTTAAAATAGGTGCCTTCCCAGGTAGAATTTTTTAAAAAAATTCATTGCAAGTGGATTTCACTGGCTAGGCCAGCATTCATTGCCCATTGGAGTAACATGTAAACTAGGCCAGGTAGAGATGCCAGTTTTCTTTCCTAAAGGGCATTAGTGAACCAGGTGAGGTTTTCTTTGACAATCGATGATAGTTTCACCATTAGACTTTTAATTCCAGATTTTTATTGAATTCAAATTCCACCGTCTGCGAAAACATGGGTCTCTGGATTAATAGCCCAGTGGTAATACCACTAGGACATCACCTCCCTACATTATTAGGACTTCCATTCATTCAGAATAACTTGTGCCTTTGAAATTATCCTCTCTCTTTTCTTGGGTTACCAGAATACCAGAAGAATATCTACCATGCTTTGTTAATTGGAACATTGAAGGTAACAAAAACGACTTGTATTGACATAATATCTTTAATGGAATAGAACATTGCAAAAAGAAAACACACCACATGAGTGTTATGAAATAAAATGCAACACTGAGCTATATATACCCTGAGGGTAAGGGCAAGTTGGTGAATGGGACTTAGTGTAAGCTAGGGCACAGAAGTAAAATTTTGAATGAGCTCATGATTGTGGAGGGTTGAATATGGAAGACTGGCCAGCAGTGCTTTAGATTGGTCAGAGTCAGCAGAAACAAAAGTGCAGATGAGAGTTTGAACAGCAAATAACTTTAAGGCTGTGCAAAGTCAGACAATATCACTGAGCTGGAATTAGGTAGTTCTGGAGGTAACATTGACACACATTTCGGGAAATCTGTCTCAAATAGTGACATCACGGTTGTGAATTGCCTCATTCAGCCTCAAATGACTTTCTAGGATAGAGAAATGGAGTAGTTGGCTCAGGATCAGAGTTTATTATGGGGACCAAAGATGGTAGCTTTGGCCTTCCCAATACTTAATTGGAGGAAAGTTCTTCCCATCCAGTAATGAATGGCAGATAAGCATTCTGAGGGAGACAATGGTCAACTCCTAATGTCACTGGGCTTGTAATCTAGAACTCCAGGTTAAATGTCTAGGAACATGTTTTCACCATGGCAGATATTGTAATTTGGAGAATTGTAACTTGAATTCAATTAAATCTGGAATTAAAAGTTTGCCTAATGTCAAGAAGGTGACAGCTGTCAATTATCATAAACTGCCATCTGGTTCACTAACATCATTTATTCTCTGGTTTCTCTTAGGATCATATAAATCTTTTGCCTTCTACTAAAGACTTCTGTGAAGAGAAGCTCTGTGTTTTGAGCAGCATTTTGTTGCCCTGCTTTTGTGGGGTTTTGTAGTGCCTCTTGTGGCTCAGTGGTAGTGGCCCTACCCCTGGACCGAGTGGCCCAGGCTCAAGTCCCAGCTGCTCCAGAGGTGTGTGATAACATCTCTGAACTGGTTAATGAGAAAAATAAGTTTAAAAGAAATATATAATTTAAGGAAGGAAGTCCGCCATCTTCACTGGCGTGGCCTACAAATGATTCACTATTTGCTGCAATCTCGTTGATTCTTAGCTGCCCTTTCAGTAATTAATGGTGGGCAATAAATGCTGGGCAACTTGTGTAGCTCATCTCCCATTAACAGATTAAAAGAAAAAGTTTCAAGAGTGTGGAGGGATCGAGAGAGATGGTGATGAGATATATCTGGGTATCATCAGAATACATGCGGTGTTCAGATTGATTGGATTAGTCTGTATGTAGATCAAAAATTGTCCTGGATGAGGAGGACTGTGGCAGGGAGATTGAAACCATGAGATGGATGGATGAATTTTTAGTCAACAACAGTAGAAGACTGGGCAGCACTGGGAAGAGAAGCCATTGAAATGGATTCTGCCTTTGGCTACAATTGCTGAGATATGGATGTAACCAGATGTGTGGTTCCAGCCAGCTGAACAACAGTAGACAGCTTTGTCTTGGAGTATTCACACCTGACATTTTCTCATATGTCCACTATACGGCTCTTGAAATTTATTTACTAAAATTATTTGCTAGTTATTCATTGATAATCAATAAGCTCACCAATAATGAACAAGGTGGGAGGCGATGACGTAGTGGTATTTTCGCTGGACTGTTAATCTAGAGACCCAAGTAACGTTCTGGAGACCAGGGTTCGAATCTCGCCACGGCCGATGGTGGAATTTGAATTTAATAAAAAAATCTGGGATTAAGAATCTAATGATGACCATGAATCCATTGTTGATTGTTGGAAATGCCCATCTGGTTCACTGATGTCCTTTAGGGAAGGAAACTCCCATTCCTACCTGGTCTGGCCTACATGTGACTGCAGACCCACAGCAATGTGTTTGGCTCTGAACTGCCTTCTGGGTAATTAGGTATGGGCAATAAGTGCTTCCTGGTCAATGATGCTGTCATCCCATTAATGAAAAGAAATTATTTTAAACAGAATTGTTATAATGTGCAGATGAGAAATGTTTTCTTACAAGAGTTGCATTGCTGATTAGGGATCACATCACGGCTGTGTTAAGGGAAGACACATCGGAGGGATCTTGCAGTGAGGCATTATGGGTGGAGCTCAGGAATAGGAAGGGTGAAATCACAATGTTGGCAGTTTTCTATAGATCTCCCAACAGCCCATGGGAGACAGAGGAGCAGATATGTAGTCAGGTGCTAGAAAAGTGTGGAAAAAATCAGGGTAGTTGTGGTGGTTGACTTCAATTTTACTCTTATTGACTGGGACTCCCTTAGAGCTAGGGGCTCGTATGGAGAGCAATTTGTCAGATGTGTCCAGGAGGGCTTTTTGAGACAGTATGTTGATAATCCAACCAGAGAGGAGGCCATACTAGACTTGGTATTCGGGAATGAGTCAGGACACGTGATCGATGTTTCTGTAGGAGAGTATTTTGGGCTTAGTCACCATAACTTCATGAGATTTTGAGTAATCATGCCCAAGGACGAGTGGCCCTCGGGTGAGGGTGTTTAATTGAGCAAGGGCCAATTACATCTAAATAGACAAGAAGTGGGGAATGTGGATTGGGAGCAGTTATTTGAGGGCAAATCAAGTCTGGCATGTGGGAGGCTTTTAAAGACCAGTTGATTTAAAGTGCAGGACCTGCATGTCCCTGTAAAACTGAAGGCTAGGAATCGCAGGATCCAGGAACCATGGATGACGAGAAATTGTAAACTAGTCAAAAGGAAAAGGGAAGCATATGATAGGTCTAGGCAGCTACAAACTGACAAAGCCCTTGAGCAGTATAGACAAATTAGGAAGGAACTTAAATACAGAATTAGCAAGGCTAAAAGAAACCATGAAATGTCTTTAGCAAACAGAGTTCAGGAGAATCCAATGGCTTTTTATGCATATGTTAGAAGAAAGTGGGTAGCGAGGAAATGAGTAGGCCAACCTCAAGGAGAAAGGAGGGAAATTATGTGTGGAGCCACAGGAAGTGGGAGAGATCTTTAATAAGTACATTCTATCGGTATTCACCAAGGAGAAGGACATGACTGATGTTGAGGTCAGGGATGAGTGTGAATACTCTCGAGAATGTCAATATATTAAAGGAGAAAGTTTTGGGTATCCCAAATTGCATTAAGGTAGACAAGTTCCCAGGGCCAGATGGGGTCTATCCCACGTTTCTGCGAGAGACAAGAGAAGAAATAGCTGGGGCATTAGCAGATATCTTCACATCCTCTTTGACTACAGGCGAGGTTCCAGAGGACTGGATATTAGCCAATGTTGTTCCCTTGTTTATGAAAGGAATCAGGGATAATCTAGGAAATTATAGGCTGGTGAGTCTGACACCTGTGGCGGAGAAGCTTTGGAGAAAATACACAGGGATAGGATATATGCACGTTTGGAAGAAAATGGACTAGTAAGTACCAGGCAGCATGGTGTCATACGGGGAAGGTCATGTCTCACCAATCTGATCGAAATTTTTTGAAGAGGTGATAAAAATAATTGATGAGGGAAGAGCTGTGGATGTAGTTTATATGGACTTCAGTAAGGCATTTGATAAAGTCCATATAAACTACATCCACAGCTCTTCCCTCATCAATGGCAGTTTGGTACAAAAACTAAAATCACATGGGATTCGGGGTGGGCGAGCTAGATGGATACAAAACTGGCTTGGTCATGGAAGTCAGAGAGTAGCAGTGGAAGAATGTTTTTCAGAATGGACACCGGTAACTAGTGGTGTTCCATAGGGATCAGTCTTAGGTCCTCTGTTGTTTGTAGCATATATAAATGATCTGGAGGAAAATGTGGGTGGTCTGATTCGTAAGTTTGCAGATGACACACAGATTGGTGGAGTTGCTGATTGTGTGGACAATTGTGAAAGGATACAACAGGATATAGATAGCTTGGCAACTTGGGCACAGAAATGGCAGATGGAGTTTAATCCAGACAAATGCGCATTGATGCATTTTGGAGGATCAAATTTTGGCTTGAATTATACTGTAAATGGCAGAACCCTTAGGAACATTAACATGCAGACGGCTCTGGGCTTGCAGGTCCACAGTTCCCTAAAATTGGCAACACAGGTGGCCAAAGTGACTAAGAAGGCATATGGCATGCTTGCCTTCATCGTCTGGGGCATGGAGTACAAGAGTTGGCGAAACGTGTTGCAGTTATATAAAACTCTTGTTAGGTCACATTTGGAGTATTGTGTGCAGTTTTGGTCGCCACATTACCAGAAGGACGTGGAAGCTTTGGAGAGAGTGCACAGAAGGTTCACCAGGATGTTGCCTGGTCTCGAGGGCATTGGCTATGAGGAAAGGTTAAAATGACAAGGATTGTTTTCACTGGAATGACGGCGGCTGAGAGGAGACCTGATAGAGGTCTACAAAATGATGAGAGACATAGATAGAGTGGATAGTCAGACGTATTTTCCCAGGGTTGAAGTTTCAATTACAAGGGGGCACGGGTTCAAGGTGAGAGGGGGAAAGTTTAAGTGAGATGTGTGAGGAAAGTCTTTCACGCTGAGAGTGATAGGAGCCTGGAATGCACTGCCGGAGGGGGTGGTGGAAGCAGGCATGTTGGTGACATTTAAGAGGCATCTGGATGGTTATATGAATAAGGAGGGAATAGAGGGACACGGACCGAACAAGGGCAGAATGTTTTTTTTAGTTTAGTCAGCGCACGATGATTGGCACAGGCTTGGAGGGCCAAAGGACCTGTTCCTGTGCCATACTTCTCTCTTGTTCTCTTTTGTTCTTGAGTACCAGAGTCATGCGTATTGTTCGAATGCAGTATTAATTTTCCTATTTTTGTTATAAAGTTTGCTCAAGATATGGCTGTTAATCCATTTTTCACATCTACATCTCAGATACTACATGTGTCCAATTTGATTAACTTTGCTGCAAACGTTGATTGAAGTGCCTGTCTGTTTATGGTAAAATGGTGCAGCCACAAGTAGAGGATAATAGGTTATTATAACAAATAGAAATCACACTTGGTCTGTATAACTATTCTTAAACATTGTTGTGTTTACTGATTGTCCTTACAGCACAAAGAATTGCTAGCTTTGTGCAATCAGTGGCTGCTTGGACTGAAACGAAGTTTTTTGGACCTGAACCCCATCCTTAATGAGCGATAAGAACTGTGGAAAAAATTGATGTAGTGTTTGCAAAGCGAACACCTGAGTCAAAATTGTGATTACTTCAATAACGATGCTAAATTGCCTTAGATATCTCAACCACAGTGTTTGGTGCACAACTTCTTTAAATGACAAATGTTGCTAAGATGGGGTGGAAATAAAATGCATCCAGTGCTTAGATTCATGTCGCAGCTTTACATTTCTTTTCTGTTTCAGCAAAAAGGTAACCAAAATCGCTGGATTAAAAACTAATTGTGCATCTGTCACAAATCTATAATATGCAAGCAGAAATGTGTTGTTTTGGGGTTTTGTTAGTTCTATTTCAAAATTTTAATGAGAAATGGAAGGAAGTTTTGAAGTAAATTTTATTTAAATTCCATATTTTGATTTTTCTAAAAATTCCGTCAACATGAGCATTTTTCTTCCCGCAAGGACTGTTGAGGAACTGGCAGGGAGGAGTAACTGAGCTTGACAGTGTGAGGGAGATGAATTAACACACAGTTGAAATCACCCAATCCCTGAAGCGTTTGGGTTAATGACTGTCTCTGCAGATATAAATTCATCTCTTTCCGTGTTCTGGGTTCAATAACTTCTCCAAGACATTTTTCCCCGTGATGCTGTCAGCCCTGACAATCTATATCTCTTTTTGGAACCAAACCAACAGAAAAGCACTTTTGGTTTATTTTAGTTTTGGGTCTAAATGGAAGTTTGAAGTTAACTGGAATTGTTTTTTTTGAGGG